CTCCTAAACCTACCAATACTAGGGGGTGCATAATCTGGCAGGGTGCAAATTTCGGCACTACACTTGTTAGTCTAACTTCTTACCGATTCCGAGCCAATCCGTTTCGTTACCAGCGGCACAGTCAATAACGTCAACCGCGCATTCTCGCTCTCTTCTCTCCAACGACCCCTTCTCTCTCACACACACGTCTCATTCGCTCCGGTTAAATAGTGCTTGTATTGCGCATTATTTTAGTCATTCCCGCAGGTTTTCGCGTTTACACCAAAAGCGCGCGCACCACCACTGAGCTATATTAGTGGAGCGCACAAACCGCGCTCAGTCTCAAACAGCTTGTGAGCCACAAATACCAAAATGAGTGGATAACTGCCCTAAAACTGTCAAATACATACAAAGTTATGTCAAAATGCCCGTCTTGGCGAGTATCCAGTTAAACACAGTCAGTTTTCAATATTTATGCTGCTGTCTGTCATGTTAATCAAAGAACAATTTACAAAGAAAATAATTTTCTGCTCTTGACTGAATATGTTTTATAACTTTATCTGTAAGCATTAATCTGTATTTAATTTTTACAAAGAAGACTACAGAAATTAATGTAATCAAATGTAAAATAACACTGGATGTGTTTTTACATTTGATTACTTTAATTTCTGTAGTATTTCTTACCTGACTTTTTACTTGTGTTTTTTTAATGACTATAAAACTTTGCGTTGAAGAAAAGTAGATATTTGTTTGTATATGCTGTCAATTATAGTTCTTAGAAAGAAAATCGGAATCGGCAAAAATCGGTATCGGCAGATCACACTAACAAAAAATCGGAATCGGCCAAGAAAATTGCAATCGGTGCATCTCTAATATTTTGGTTATATTTATGCAGAAATACAGACAATTCTTAAGGGTCCACAAACTTTCAAGCAGCACTGTATAACAAACTAATATAAACATATATAACATATAAACATTATATAAACAATATCAAAGACTACAATTTATAAACTGACAGTTTACAAAAAATGTAAGTTCTTTGTTACTGAATACCTATTAAGGGTTAACCATCTTTTTTTTATTTTTATAAATATGACACCGACAAGACCAACAATGACCCACAAAGCTGCTTAAGAAATAACAAAATTTCAACAAAAAAAAGTTTAAATTAATGAGAGATGAACACTAGAAAGGTACCATTTTATCAAAATGATGACGTCACACAATACCTCTAATATCTTCAGAACATAACTCCATACATCATAAGCATTAAAATATGCATTAAAATTAATATAACTAATATTATGTATTTTAGACAATCATGTCTATATTTTTTGTTTTTCAGCCATAATATCTCAAACAAGTCATCAAGGTAACAAAATTGTTTTGGATTTATAGATGATTAATTCCCCCAGTTTTAACAGTGAACCAGAAAAACAAAATTGCAACAATTTTATACGTGATGAGCAAAAAAACCTTACTTGTCAACTCACAACAGAAAATCAGCTTCTGATTTCATTTATAGAAGTAAATACCAGACGTGTCTTGTTTTTCTTTCTTTTTTTCCATTGATTCCTACCACTCATCAATCAGTGACTGACTTTAGTGAACTCACCACAACTTTAGAGGCCAGATTTACATCACTTGCAGACAACCTGCAGGACCTCCTTCGTGGTGAACTCTTTCCACTTGACTCTATGTACAAACAGTAAACTTTTATAGAAAAACACAACTAACACAAAACAGAACATACTTTGGTATAATAACGCCATTTTAGCTGTCATTTATGCATTCATTATTCCTTCGACATTCGCTAACATAACAGATTTATAACTCAAGAACAGCCTTGTTAAAAGACTAACGTTAAATATCATGCTCACAGTAATAACACTCACTTCTGATTTCATCGCTGCTTTTCCTCGACGGTAACCGTGTGGTTTTGTTGCTCATCTTGCAAGACAATACAGATCCAGAAACTGCAAACTGCTGCTAGTCAGTAAGCTAACACAACGAACACACGAGAAATTTACAATGCCACGATTACAACAACAACAACGTTGCATGTATACTAAAAGAGCTGTGCCTTAGTTTTACTTACACTGTCCGATCTGTTATATGGTCGGTTATATGGAATTGTATGAAACAAACATCTATGTTTTCAGATGCAAACGAATATGCTCTTCTTTCAAATTCGCCCGCCTTCCCATGTAGTAACGGGGTGGAACTAAACCAACTACTTCCTGTGTGTTAAACTTGTGTTTTCCTTTGGGGGGCGCTTCCATATATCTATGGGCGCTTCAAGGTTCAGAGAGACAAATCATCTTCATATCAGGATATTTTGGATAGTACAGATAAGACTAAAAATACAGTATTTTAAATGCAATGAATTAAAAAGATAGTTCCTGACATATATATGAAAACTGACCAAAGTAATCTATGCAAAATAATTAAATAGAACTAGTCAGACCAGCACGAAAAAACGTAACGGGTAATACGTGAACTATGTTACCCTTGAAAACAGCACAGTGTGAAATTAACATTACTTTCCGACTTGGTTATGTCCCTTTCTTATGTTTTTCTATACATTTAATTCTGTAGAGAATTTGGTAATAATCGGGTGACAGGTTAAGGACAACATCAGTCTATTCTTGATGTCTTCAATTTGGACTCCCAGAAAACCTGCAATAAAAAAGTAAAACAATTCATACCCATTAAAATGTAATGTCTTCACAGGTATATTAACATAAATGTAGGCCTAACTGTAATCTATAAACTACAAAAACGGTTTTAAATAGCCTTTAAGTTAAAGGCTTTAACATGACATTTTGTGAGACCTTATAGGCTACATTTCCATGTTTTAATTTCCATGTAATTTTCATTAAAAAATGAAAACAAAAACAAAACAGTATTTCAAAGAAAAGAAAAACTATATACATTATTCGGCCAGTAACTTGACTAAATAACGAAATATTGGCATCTGTTTTGATTCTTCACCATGTTTCATCCAGCCACTGTCTTCAAAGCTTTTTGAAACTCATCAGAATCAATGCCAAATGATTCTCTCATTCTAACAGCCCAAACACCCTGACAATGACAGCTTTTACAAATCAATTCCAAATGTTTTCATGCAAGTGTAATCTATTAAATGCAATCTACAAATCATGAAATATGTGGTGAGTGTATAAATTGTGTTTTTTCACTCATTTGTAGTTTGTTTTCTTTATTTATTTGTTTGATTGTTTGTTTGTTGAGAGGGCTTGCAATCAGGCCAATTTAGTGCCAAATAAAACTCAGTTTTTCCAATATACATCTGTCATTAAAACTAAACCTAAATCATAAAGCCTGAGATCAGATGAAACCGTATATGCTGATTGAACTATTTAATGTTGAAAAGGATGACATTAACAAAATTAAGAAAGAAAGTAAATTTTTAGGCTGTTTAGTACGAGCAGTAAGTGGCGGTGATGGTCCAACTATACAGGCTGCTAAGCATGTTCAGATTGATGATGCATTTAATTTGCTAAACACTGCTTCATGAAGCTTTGAAATGTTTATGAAACTCTGGTTTCAAACCAGTGTTTCGGAGCGCATATCAAGCCACGTGATTTTAGCAAACGAGTTATGTCATACTTTTCCTTAAAGGGGTCATATGATGCTTTTTTAAAGATCATTATTTTGTGTATTTGGTGTAACAGAATATGTTGACATGCTTTAATGTTCAAAAAACACATTATTTTTCAAATACTGTACATTATTGTAGGTCCTCTAAGCCCCGCCTCTCTCAAACGCTTCGTTTTCTACAAAGTTCCTCCTTCCGACAAGCGCAGTCTGCTCTGATTGGCCAGCTGACCCAGTGCATTGTGATTGGCCGAACACCGCAAGCACTCGTCGGAAATGTAACGCCCCTTACCATAATCGCTAGCTTCATCATTCAAAATAAATGTAAAGACAGAGCCCGAAAGGGGAACAGAGTC